TTCCTATCACACTGCACTAGTGTTTGATTATTTTGAGGGCTAAAGAGCAAATGGAGCATATTATCTGGATTTAAGTCTTATAGAACATGTTTCGAATGCATTAAGATGTGAATTTTTTAGGATGTTCACTTCAGCTCTCACCCAGCCTTCTACCGGAGCTTCAAGCATTCACTGTGAATACACTTTGTTACCACAGGAAATGCTGGACAATCTAATACACAGCATGAAAAATTGCTGTAAAGCTTACATTTTGCTTCAAGGATGGTTATATGCCTTATTAATATTTTCTATGTTTCTCTAAAAAGTTTAAATACCAGCTTTTCTGTAGCCCACTTTACATCATATTTCTGACATCTTTATTTAAGTTTACCTTTCTGAAGAAATAGGCGATTTTGCAGTTTGAAAATATGTCCGGTGTGACAAAATAAAGATTTGTGTTAGTGTTGTATTCTTAGTTAAAAAATCATTCAGGTTCCATGAGTTTTTATAGTTCTTCCTTTAATTTTGTTAAAGGGTTTAATTTTGTTAAAGGGTGTTTAATTTTGTTAAAATTATAAGTATAATACTTATAATTTTCCTGTTATAAAACAATGTTTTGAATCCCATATTTAAAAAAGAAATCCCATTTTTCTATATCCATGTAATATAAAAGAAGCTGAACGACACCACAATGATGTCATAAATCACAGGCCAATATTTGTAAATAAATTTCTAGAAAAAAGATAAAAAAAGGGAATTTGTGTAAGTGTCTACATTGTGAATAAGAAAAAAAAAAAAAAGAAGGCACAGTTCCATATCTCCTGTTATATTGGGCTGATTGACGAAATTCAAATTGCGTTTTTCCATGTCTCGAAAGCACAACATAGGATATGTATTAGATTTATATATAGCTTTGTTCTAACATAGGTATTTTGACACAAAAATCGGACATTTCTGAAATAACATACCAATTTTTTCCCATATTCTGATTCTACAACTCAAATTATGCCTAGATATTAAATTTTGTAATTTTTGTTGAGAAATTTAAAAATTTATCTTAACGAATTTTTTTTCAGTTTGTGCCAAGAATAATTCCCTTTGCGAACTTCTTAATTTGTAGCAACCTATTTTCCTTTACTTTTTCTTCATTGTCCACAAGTGGGGAAAAAGTCATCGTTCATACTTTCAAATAATTTTAACAAAGTGCGTCAAACCACATTTTCATTATTATTGCGTATAATAAATACGTCAAATTTCAAAATGCGCCAATATGTAAATTCATGTATGTCCTAGCAAATAAGTATCTATCAAATTCAATTAACATAGAGAAGCTAAAATTTTGAGAGCTAATTTTTTTAAAACGATCCGATTAGTTCGATTTTTGTGTAAAAATATGTGTATTAAAACAATGCTATATAAAAATGTAATACATATTCTAAGTTGCGCTTTCGAGACATGAAAAACGCAAGTTGAATTTCGTCAATCAGCCCACTAGGAACGGGAGATACAGAACTGTCCCCCCCCTTTTTTTTTCGCACAGTGTACATTTTTACATATTTTGGCAAAATTTTCTACAGTGAGCTGCTTCTCTTTCAGACTGTTAAAAAGGAACTTTTTGCATGTAGATCAAAGACAGTTAATGTGTTGTAGGATTCAAAAGTTCCAGGACTGAGTCTACAATGCAAAAATGTTTTGCAGTAGTGCAACTGCAAGAACATTTTTGTGTTACTACATTCTCCCTCCCTTTTCTAAAAGTGGTTTGTCCTAAATCATGTGGATGAAAGTTCGTGGCGACAGTGTTTTTTGTAGGCATGTGCATTTAGTAACCGGTGATAGAAAGAAATGGCATCAGTTGAGCAGAGAATCAATATTAAATTTCATGTTTGCTTGGGAAAGAGTGCTATGGAGACTTTTGAAATGTTGAAGCCTGTGTGCAGAAGTGAAACATTATCGAGAATGCAAGCTTTTGAGTGGCATCATTGTTTCAGAGAAGGCAGGGAAAGTGCCGAAGACAATGAATGCTGTAGCCATCCTGTGACTTCGCACATTGATGAAAACATAAAAAAGGTATCTGCGGCGGTATGTGCGAACAGGTAGCAAACAATTTGCCAAATAGCAGAAACGGTTGGGATATCAGAGGACACATGTTCGAAGATACTAAGAATCTTAACATGCACATGTAGGATGTGTCAACACATCGTTCCCTGTGCATTAAACATAGACCAAAAGGGAATTCGAATGGAAATGGCGGGCGAACTTAATCTTGGCTGTTGACAAAGATCCTTCCCTACTTGGCAGAATTGTTACTGGAGACGAGAAATGGTGTTTTTTGAGTGACCCACAAACCAAGAGAGCATCGGCAACATGGAAATCGCCACAATCTCCACGGAAGCAGAAATTCCACCGAGATCGCTGTAAAGGAAAGGTCATGCAAGAGGTATTCTTCGATATCTAGGGCATTGTGCATCTGAAATATATCCCTGAAGGACGCACTGTGAACAAAGGACTCTACTTCGAAATCCTGCATGAGTTGATCCAGTTGTTTGCATGAGTTGATCCAGAAGAAGAGACCAAAAATGTGGACTGAGCATTCATGAGTGCTGTTGCATGAGAACGCTCCTGCTCACTGTTAATGACTTTCTTGCGAAAACGAAAATAATTGTTTTGCCTCATCTTCCTTACTCATCTGGTCTCTCAGCCTGCAATTTCTTCCTATTTCCTAAACTGGCAAGACGCTTGCAGGATCATCAATTTCAATCTTTAGATGAAGTTAAATGTGCATCGCTGGCTGAATTAAAGGTTCTGGCCAAAAATGGATTCCAAACATGCTTCAGTGAACTTTACAGGCACTGGTTGTTGCACAAGGGTCTTATTTTGAAGGAAGGTGTATTTCTGCAATTTAATTCATAATATTTTTTACATTATAGACTCAGTCTGGGAACTTTTGAATCCTACCTCGTAGATCTGTGGATAGTGACACAAGAGGAGTGGGCAGAGAGAATTTTCATTGTAGAAACAAAGAATGATTTTTTGTCATGGAAATCAAGGTGCAGGTTGATAGTTTTAGAAAAGAGCTACCATATTGAATTCTTATAAAAATAATATTTACATTATAATTCATCATTTTACTGCATTGAAATTGTTCAGAAACTCTGTAACTCTTTGTAAAAACTCATCTGTACTACTATTCTATTTAAGTTTACATAATGAAACAAGGTTTTGATCTCTCTCAGTAGGAGCATGAGTCAAAATAATCCTAATAATTGATGATAAATTTTCTTGTCCTGACTATTATGACATTTCAGACTTTTGAATTGAGAAGGGAATGCAAAGAAATATGATTTTTAATTCAAATTGCATTACATTAAACATTTGATAAATCAATCAATCGAAATTTATACATATTCTGCCTTAATTAAAGGCACTGCTTGGATTGCCCCTCTTGCCTCCATATTAGGCAGGAGGTGCATTGTTATATCAGAAGCTTCCCTGAGAGGAGAAATAGAATCATTCACTTGCTGCAATCCGTGTCGGTACCCTGGTCCATAGGTGGTGAATTTTTAAAATTGAACTGGCTTCCTAGGGGCTCAGAGACCGTAAAGGATGAAAAGTATATCGAAGCCATCTCTGTCCATTGTGCTACCCCGTCGGATGTTATATGTTGGTCGTAAGTTGCCCTTTGGGGCAGTAGAAACTGGGAATGTGTATTTTGTACCCTCAGAGTCGCAATAATTAGAGTATATTACTAAGCTAATATTTGAAGCCTTAGGGGGGTTAAGCATCTGATGAAGAAATTTCAGGCTTCACAGAATAGAAACATTGATTTTTCTTGTGCTCAAAGTCAGTTCGAGCTTTACCAGTATGGCACAATTGGGTTGCCAAACTAGGTTTGGCCTTCAAGGAGAAAGTCACAGTATTCCTGATGCTTTTGTTGCAATTCGCTGATGTGAAATTTTGATCTCAAATGATTTTTAAGCAATGTGACTGAGTGGCTGCTGGTGATTGGCAACAGGGTTACTGAGTGGCTAACAAATTGAACTTTTAAGCAAGATAACTGAGTGAATAGCATTTTATATCAGATGGCATTAAGACAATTAAAATTCGGTTCACCCTTCATTTTATATGATGCTTTTGGAAACTGCGGAACATAGGATGGTGATGCATAGATTGCAAAACAGAGATATATTTGAAAGGAAAGATTTGATATTTTATAAAATTTTAAAATTTTCCATCACCTCGGGGACTTTTAGTAATAGTTATCAAAGAGTAAAAGGACCTTTCTTCTCTATAAAAATAACATATTTTTAATCCAAATTTTGCATTCATTCTTGAAATATGTCATATTACATCCATGCTGTTCTATTTGCTTTGTAAAGTACAAACAAAGATTTAATTAGCTTTTAAAAACATAAAGGTTGATAAGATTTTTCTTCTGAGAGATGGGAAAGTTTCTGTTCTAGTGAATTGCCCTTTTACCCCTAAAAAACTTGCTTTTGAAGATATTAAAAGTATTTTTGCTTAACCATTGTCTGTTAAGTAATTATTATTAAACAGAGAAAGAAATTCATATTAGAAACAACAGAGAGTTAAGCATTGGTGTTATAGATGTTAAAAGCAGCTGCTGAACAAATATGGCTACAAGGTTGGCATATTTAGGGATTTATTATATTCTTTTCTCTCATAATAATTTTTCACTCATCCATTAAATGAGTACCAACTTTAGGAAAATTGTTCAGAACTTTCTCAGTGATCATTATCATAATTGATCATTAGATTAAGGGTCTCATTAATTCAAATGGACTGTATGAGTTATATTAAAGAGGCATTTAGGAATAGGTATTTTTTTTTTTTTTTTTTTTTTTTTTTTTTTTTTTTTTTAATTATAGTAATGTTTTTGTCATTGTTATACATATACTGTGTATGCCATTTTGAAAAATGCATAAAATAAATTGTTGTAAGTATAATTTTATCCATGCACTTTTTAATATTTTTTAAACTTTTAATATGTTTATATGCTCTAGGTTCGTCGAATTATCGATGATAAAAATGATGAACGAGCTGCAGCATTAGAAAAACAGATTTTGGAAATCTTTGACAGAGTTTATGAACTTTGGCATTCGAGGAATAGTAACAGTTCCTCACCAGATCTCCAACATGTTGCTTCATTTGACAGTTTAGTTGATGGTTTAAAAACACTAAATATGGACTTAATTGTGAACTTTGTGAAAGAAAATATTGGAACTTTACTTTCTGTATGTATATGATAATTATTATATTATTTTTTGCAATATGATTTAGTTATGATTTATTGGTGATAATTTTTGTAATGTTTTGAACAAGTCAGGGAAGAAGTAGTTAAATTAATTTCAGGAGGAATTGTTTTGTTTTGAAAATTTTAAGTGTTATGCAAATAAAACAACAAAAATTAATAGTAATTTCATTATCTACAATTAATTCTGTTAAAAAAAATCCTGTAAGAGAAAAAAAAGTTGTTGATAAATGCAATGAGGTAGCACTGTTTATTTTCCTCAACATATATTGATTAATAAGCTTAAGCAAGGTATTATTAAAAAAAATTATAAGGAAGTAGTGTAAGAATTTTAATTTTGTCTTTTTAAGATGATACTGCAGCTCTTTTAGAGCCTTGAACAGTTAAGTGTCAACAAGAAATTTCTAAACTCTTTTTTTAATGTTTTATTTAATTGTGAAAAACCATATAAAAGTACTCTGAAAGATAATAATTAGGAGTCCAGAAAATTATAGACATAAAAGGAATCTTTGAACTCTAAAGGAATTTTGTAATATTACTATAAATTATATTGTGTGTTATAGTTTAATCTTTAATCTGTAGTAGTTGTGACATCTTATTGTACATAAGAATGCTTTTAAATTTATTAGTTGTACATATGATAGATAACAGGGAAACTTAAAACTTTTTTTTAAATGTTGCCATTATGACTTTTTTTACGTATTATTTTTATGTGAATGTTATTAAGTTTGGTGTCCAGTTCTAATGGCAGCTTTTTTAAATAGTATTTATTAATCAGAATATATAATTTTCTTTGTAACCCTCCAGTTAACCAAGTTTTGGGATTAAAAATCCCAAAATTTTAGATGATGTTATAAGAAATAGGTTTTTTCTAAATGCACTATCTATTTCATATGTAGACCTTTTTTTCTGTATTGTGCTTCATTTATAGACATATTTGAAGATGCATGTGTTAAGTTCTTTCTTAACATGTTGACTGCCATGGGGGGTCACTAGTAACCGGCACTCGACTTGGCTACAGCGCCGTGGTTGTCACCGGTGACCGGTAACAGGACCAATAGTAAAATACATAATTAGAGTAAATATCAATATTGATAAATTTTTAAATAGTACTATTGTTGTTTCTATAATGGTTTAAAGAGTAATAAATTATAAAAGTTTAAATTATAAATCGCAATAATGGTTTACAGTGCCTGGGGGGTCATCGGTGACCCACACGATGAAAAATGCATTAAGCATGATTATATAACTCACATTATGTTCTGTAGCTAATATTTCAACATAATATACATTGCATAATAAAAAATATCAAGTTGGCGTCATGGGCGAACCACATAAAATGCACGCAGCGGTCACCGTGTTAAAAATGTTAGGAAGAATATTATTGGACATATACACACAGTTTGGCTGACTGGAAGGTTAAATAAATTATATATGATTTTCAACAAAATGGGCATTTTGGTTACTTAAATTTAAAAAATTTGGCTATTGGGTTAAGACATTGTTCCCTTTTCTATATATCAAACAATGAATTATTAGCCCAGAAGGGCTAGTAGTCTCAAAATGGCATTTAGCATTGCATCACTAAAAGCGTTGAACCACTTTTTAACCCATTGTGGGGGAAAAAAAAAAAATGGTACCTAGAGCCATCAAGTTTTGAATAATGTAGCCTTCCACCCAAATATGGACACCTAGCAGCTGAATTTTAAATTTGTTTTATTATCTATTTCATATTTAGTAAAATTTTAACAAATTTTTTATTCAAACCTCAACAATTTCAAAGCAAGCAGTGGCAGCACTGTACAGAATAAAACATTTTTATCTCCAATGTTCACTCCAATCCAGACTGTCTATCGGAAATTCTAAAAATATGCTATTTTTAAATATGTTTAACCCAAATGCCTCTCAAAACGTGTATGTGTGTATAAATTAAAAAAAAAAAAGCAGGGAGGAACTTTTGGGAGTAAAAATAATATATATGCAGAAAAAATCTGAAAGCTTTCAGATTTTTTTAAACATTTATCTTAAGTATTTTTGTTCAAATGCTACTGTTTTCATATTATAACAGTATTTTGCATAATTTAGGTTCTTGAATCTGTTTGGACAATATTGAAAGGCAACATAAGTTTGGCATTTAGTGCATTTACTGCTATAATTTCTCTCTTATTTGGAGGTGGAACAGCTGTTTTGAATTTTGTCCTTAATTTTGTAAGTTAATTTTAATTTGTTTTTACTCTTAAATGTAAATATTTCATTTATTTGATATTTAATATAAGTATGTAACTTTTTATTCTTTCATGAAATAGACAATATTTTACTTTCATTATTATATAAAAAGATTTTAAAAGAAAGTGCATAATAAGTTTTGTAAAAGAGCTGGATAACAGCAATGTGTTTTCGTTTTGTCTAATTGATGTATAGTACAAAGCCCGAAATCAATCTGGGAGTCCAATATACCATCAGCATTATTTTTTTTAAGAAATATTTTGCAAAAAGAGGTAAAGATTCTGAGAATAGCTTATGCTTTACGTATGCACATTAGACCTTTTTTCATTATAAAGCATGCGAAGGGTCTTTATTCTTAATTTCGCTTTCAGAACTAAATAAAACTCATCCATGTTGAGCAAACACAATGATTTATTAGCATAAATCTGTATGATGAATAATTTGGCTCTGTAGCCACCTTATTGATCATCATATATCTCAAACTAAGACTTTCTATCAAGTTATTGCTAATTTTATGCTTCTATTTATCATATAACTTTTATGCCAACCTGTCAAATCTTTTTATTTTTTTTTTTTTTTTTCCTTCCATCTCCACACGAGTATCAATTTATGACAGCTTAAGAAATGAGCCATTCAACGATGTCTAAAATAGTTGTTTTAAATAACAGTAACTGAATACAAAACAGCATGACATCTTTGGTTATAATTACAGACTTTAGCCAATTGCATTGTGAAGTGTGTTGATGAGAAGAAATTCAACAGAAATTTCTTAAAATATACTTTGTAAAATTATATTTATAAGCCATTTAGAGCTGTTTGAGTTAAGAACTCTTATTCTGATATCCAATTCTGATTTTTTTATTCCAATAAGCCTTAAGGTACTTTTTCTTTATGCACCTGCCATGTTTTTTGGTGATGGCCATCGCCTGCCATGTGGTCTGGGTTTGTGTGTATGTGCCATCTATAAACTATTCTTATAACACAAAATTGTTTAAAATTTTTAAAAACCAGCCAAAATTTGTGACAGAAAATTATTGGCTTAAGTATACGTGGGAATTTATTTTATTGGGACTTGAATAAGTATGTTTGGAAAATAGACGTTAAGTATAATAAATAACAAAACTAATATAATGCAGGCTTAATGTCTTCAGCACATGTTAGGGGCAAGAAAGATTTTAGCTGAGCAGCATGTCTTTGGACACACACAATCTGAATCACCATCAATAGTGTACAGTGATTGCTTACTATGTTTTACAATGAGAGCAACAAATTTGAAGGTTTGTGCATATTGCAAACAAAAAGCAAAATTTTTCCTGTGTAATAGAATTTCTAAAGAAAAATGAGTAGGTATTAATAAATGAAAATAATATAGCTGAAGTATTCTGTTATGATGACAGTGCCCCCATGATCAATCAACTAATGGATGATAAAATCTGTAGTATGGCTCCAAATCCAGAATATATTTTTGACAATAATGAAGAAAGTGACAGAGAAGTTGTTAAGAATGAAAAAATTTCGATTGGCAATAGGGAGAATTCTTCACATTATCGTTATTTATTTACAAATACAGTTCTTTTTAATCACATATAACTTTCATATTAGAGTGCTTGTCTATAAAAATATTAATTTCTAAAAATTAGGAAAAATCACAAAAATAGTAATTACTCAGAAATCTATACACTGAAGAGCCAAAACATTATGACCACCTACTCAATTACATGTTATGTGACTTCTGGCCTGCAAAACAGCTGCAACTCGCCTTGGCACGGATGCCACAAGTTCTTGTTAGATGACTAGCGACAGGTTGTAACAAATGTCTAAGCAGTGATCATACAAAGTTGAGATATTTTGAGATGGTGTTGTTTGAACTGTGAGTTGCCACTCCATGACATCCCAAATGTGCTCAGACTGAGATCCGGCAAGTTAGGCAGCCAGGACATTAGCTGGAATTCATCCTTATGCTCCTCAAACCCTTTCAACACAACTGGAGCCTTGTGACATGGGGCATTGTCCTGCTGGAAGATTCCATTTCCAGTTGGGAAGACAGACACCGTGTAAAGGAGCAACTAATCTGCAGTTATATATTCAAATGGTCGATGGCTTTCATGGTCTGTTCTATCCCAAATAAAGATTCCAGAGCCGTCCATGAGAAATCCCCCAAAGCATAATAGCTCCACCACCAGCCTGTGTATGGCCTGACTACAGGGGGAAGTAACTGTTTGCCTGGAAGACAGTGTAACCTGACATGACCAGTGATGTGATGAACGAGAAATTGTGGTTCATCCAACCAGGCAACTGTCTTCCACTTATCCATGGTCCAGTCTCGATGTTCCCGAGCCCACTGTAGGCATAATTGACAATGACACTTGGTCGACAGATGCACATAAGGTGGGACGTCTGTTATGCAGTACTATATCCAACAGTATCTGGTGAACTGTGTGTTCTGAAACATTTGCACTTAGACCTGCGTATTGTGCTGTCAGCTGAACCACCATATGGTGCCGATTTTACTGTACCAAGCAGAACGGTGTCAGACATTTTTCTTTGATCATGTGTGGACATCCAACAGCCTGTCATCTACTGCTGGTTTCACCTTCATTTATCCACTTTGCATCAATACTAATGATGGCAGATCATGAACAACCTATCAGTTATGCAGTTTCAGAGATACTCGTTCCTAATCTTTGGGACATTACAATCTGCCCTCTATCAAATTGTCTTAGATCAGCAGCCTTTCCTTACCTTACCTTCTGCAGCAGCAGTTAAATGCCCTCCCTGTCATCCGGACAAGTTCATTGAAAAATATGGGGATGCTCATAATGTTTTGGCTCGTCAGTGTATATAATGGAAAAACTGTAAACTAAATATATAATAAACTAAACGTCAGAAAAAGTGAATATAGGCAATGACTAATGGGGTAAAAGAGGGGTGGGAATACCTTTTAGTACTTTAACTGGCTGCGTTACTGATGATGCACTCAGATAAAATATTTGTGATTATAGAAATGAAAATGGGATAATTTAATTCTTCAAATGCCTCTTTAAAAATGTGTGTAACTGTGCGCTATATTATTTACTGTATAGTATATATATCCACTATATAATGGATGTTATTGCCTTTAAAGTGTTTCAGTTGTGCATCTTTTCACCTTAAATATCATCCCCAATCCTGGAGGCAGACCTTGAGCTCTTTCTCTGAAATACTGCTAAGTATCTTGGTCGCATTGTACTGGATGTCAGTTATGATAGAAAATTTTTATTTCGTCAGTGCATCTTTAAATTTTGGAATTTAGCAGAAATGTAAGGTATATAGTCAGTGAATAGGCAAAAGTGTTTTTCCCCCAGTAGGAAGTACACACTTTCATTATGTGTTCGAGGCAAAAACTTCATAGAAATCTTCTTATACTAGTTCTTGAACTAAAATTATATTAATTGTCATTGATTAATCTGTAATTCATTAGCTGCTGATTTCACACTTAGTAGTTTTTTTAGACTGAGTCATATCTAAAGATTATCCCAGACATGGACATCAGTAGTAGGATGGGATATCAGTCTGGAATCAACTTTAATGTTTGTGCCCACTATTGTGTCTCTTTATACCTCCTTTCACACTTACTTGAGTTTTTTATGGTATTTTTGCCTTATGCGATTTTTAACTGCTTTTGCATTTCAGTAATATATCCAGTTTTCACACACACACACACACACACGCGCACTTTGATGATAATATACTGTTCTAAATTTTCATTACCCATTTTTTTGCCAAAATGGGCATGAAGATGTCTGTTATTATCCTTCAAATAATTCCTGTATTGTTAATGTTATCTTGATGAAAAGTGGTGTGAACAAGAAAATGAAAATTCAAAAGTTTTTTTTTTTTAAACTTACCATGTAAATGTTTTTAAATACTTATATTTTACATCTGTGCATATTTTTAAAAATTTATAAATATTATTTTTTATCTTTTACAGATTAACTAGTCTAAAATCTGGTCCCATAAATGCTAGTTAATTTAGAGTTATTGCATATATGTTTATATATTTGATTGTAAAATTGCACAAGTTATTATATTTTCTTTTCATCCATTGCAGATAGTTTTTTCTACTTCTTTATTTTACCTTTTGTGTGCAAGCGGAGATCAGTATAAGCCTGTTGAAGTGTGCAGTGGTTTACTTCCATCTACAGGTAGTGGTACTCAGTTTGGCAGGGCAGTTGAAGAAGCCATCAATGGTGTATTTGCTGCATCATTCAAAATGGCAGCATTTTATGGCTTGTACACATGGCTTATTCATACCCTCTTTGCTGTCAAAATAATATACATACCTTCTGGTGAGATATTTGTTGTTTTTTGCTGCTTTTATTATTTATTTATTTTTCATTGTCTATTTTATCTGAAAACTGTAATTCAGATTTCATGTAATTTTTCTTCACTTTAGTACTTGCTGCTATATTTGGAGCAGTTCCATTCCTTGGAGCTTATTGGGCTTGTTTGCCAGCAGTGTTAGAATTGTGGCTTGTTAATGGGCAGATCGGTAAAGCAGGTATCATGTTACTCGCACAACTGATTCCAACATCTTTTGTAGACAGTGCAATATACAGTGAAATAAAAGGGTAACTAAATCAAAATATTAAAATGTTTTTAGTAATATAAGTAAAAACTAATATGCTTTTTAAGAGATAATCCTCTTAAATTAAATAGAATCCACATACCATCATACTATACATTTATAGAAAAGATTAGTGGTTCTAGTAAAAGTAAATTTTATTTTTCATATGTGCCATAATTTTTAGGCATAATTCATTTTTTATAAGTCTTTAATTTTGCACTCTATTTGTGTTTGATCTTAAAAAGCCCTTTTTAAATTTTTTTTTTATTTTAAATCCTAAATTTAAATTTTTATTGCAAAATAATAAGAGAAAATTTCTGTTGATTTCTTTTTATAATTAAAATGAAACATTGGAAGAAACTACATGCACAAATAAAGTAATATTATTACCCTTAAAATTCAGTTACTATGTTGTCATAATTTTAAACATTGTACATTCTCAGTTCTAGGTAAGTAACAATTAATTAATGTTACTTCTAGAACAATTAATGGTATAACTAATTGCAAAATAATTAATGTATAATTTTATCCATTATTTCAAGGATGGTATGTAACTGTTTTGCTATGTAACTAAAATACTGTTTGGGTGTCCTATAAAAACTGTCTCCAGTAAGAGTATGTAAGTATTTAATTTATCAATCTTTAAGTGTGAAAACAAATAGATAGGTGAAAGTATATATGTGAGTGTACAGTTTTAATGCTGAATAATTGCAGCATTATTACATAGCAATCTAGTAAAGAGCAAGCTGAATTTCAGCAGAAGAGGTGATGTTATTTATATACACTGCTCTCCAAAAGTTAAGGAACAGCGTGTTTTTTGTGTCTAATTTGAGAATGAAGCAACATAGAAACCAGAAATTTAGAGAACATGTTCACTAAACAGTTCTTTAATGAATGCAACATAGAATGTTTCTAAAGTTCAACACAAACATGAATTACAACGAAAAATTGCACTCTTGGCAGAGACATCCAGTCTTGGAGAAACAGTATATCATAATTTTTGAGAAAAAATGGGGGGGGGGTAACATTACAAAAATGGTTTTTAATATGTCCTTCCCTAGTCTAAATTCATTGGCGGCAGTGACATTCCATGCTGTGAATTAAGTTATCTTTTAGTGACATGGGAAGCAATGCCCAGACATGGAGTAATCCTTGTTCAAGACCTTAGAGGAGGACTTAAAGCAGGAACCTGTCTCCCAAGATAGACCCAAAGATGATGTATTGGATTCAGGTCTCGAGATTGAGCTGGCCATTCTATCCGCTCTATACTGTGACCCTCAAGATATTCTTCATCAACCCAAGCCAGTGGGGTTGTGCATTGTCGTCCATCAGAAGAAATCCAGGACCAATAGCAGTGCATACGGGCAGACATATTGATCAAGAATCTCGTCTCAATATCTTAAACTGGTCAAAGTTCCTCCAAGGAACACCTACAACTCAGTGTGACAACCGAGAGAGATCCAAGCCTAAACCATTAGTCCACCACTTCTGCAACAACCTGGGAATTGTTGTATCTAGTGCATTGTTTTCTTTAGATCAGCTAATGACCTGAATCACTCTCCGATATGAACTTGGACTTGTCTGTGAAGAGAACAGATGCCCATTGTTCACTGGCCCAGGAGACATGTTCTCTTGCCCAACATAAACGGGCACCTCTATGTCCTCGGGTCAAGGGGACACAAACGACTAGTCATCTTGCATACAGACCTGTATTGTGCAGGCATCTGTGCACTGTAGTAGCTGGGATTCTTGTTCCTTTTGCCATTAAATTATCTGCCATGAGCTGAGGCGCAGTAATTTTACTCCTCCTTTGGGGCCGAAAAAGCTAAATAATGGTCTCTTGCAGGTGTTGTAACTCTAGGTCTGCCTGCAATATGTCTTCTAGACATAGAATCCTCGAATTCAAACTGATTCCGATAGTCGATGGATCACACTATGAGATACATTGAGACATCTAGCTGAATCAGCTTTGTGACATCTCTATTTCCATCCATCCGATTGCCAGCCACCTCAACGAATTGGGCAAACGACTTCTCCTGTACATTGATAGACTCTTCAGGATATTCTCAACAAAACTGCTAATTACAATTGAAGATCAACACTCTTGAACCAAACTTACAATTTTTACATTTTTTCTGCAACTCTATATAAGTATTCATTTCTATAAAATAAAAGTGGTAGCTACTGTTTTTGCATATATATTCTTAAACTCTGTTACTATCATGCTTATAAACTATGTATTTAAATGTTACTTACATTTTTGTAATGGTGAGCTTTGAAAAACATGCTGTTCCTTAATTTTTGAAGGGCAGTGTATTTTGTTCTAGGCAAAATAAAATTAATACATACTTTTAATTATTTATTTTAAGTTTAAATAATATAAGAAGCTAATGCAGTGAAATATTTGTTTTTAATATACACTTAAATTAATTCAAATGAATGTACAAGGTAGATTGGCCTTTAGATTTCAGCAAACATATGACTTATAAACATCGGTTGTCATCTTCACAGGCATCTTTCAATTGCATTGAACCTGAAAACCAGAAAATTAAATATCAACCAGTCAATTCTTTTGAGCAGTTTTCATATTTAGGCTTGTAAAATGCTGACTGTTATCTAGGGTTTTATTTTGCTCAAGAAAGTCATTTGGTTATGTTTTCAAAAACATTTTCAATGCTGCTTAATGCAGCATTTCCTAGGTGGATGATTTACTCCCGCCATTAAATTACTCGGGAGAAAACAAGGTTTCTTGTTGATTTACAGGTTTCCATAACAATAATAATTTTAAAAAAATAAACTGTTTTCTCTCTCTGTCTCAAAGATCTTGAAAATAAATCTGGTTATTTTTGCATACATTTAGATAAACAGATACTTTAAGATTCAGGAAAATTTCTAAACTTTATCCAGTTCATTTTTGACAGGATGGTATGAAAATTGCATTTTATTTCAGGCAGAAGTTTAGGGTATAAATTAAAAAACGATTTGAAAGTAAGATATTTGGTAATAAGAAAAAAGTATTTTAGCTAAAACTAGCTTTGTCAACTTTTAGAATAAAGTCATTAGGTTATTTTGAAGGAGGAGACGTGAAAAATTAGCAGTGCTCTCACCAGGACTTAAACCTGGACTTTGCAAATATGCGTTGAGTGTGCTACCAGTATACCACAAAGGTATGCTGGAAGGAGGGAGAGAATACCATATATACTCCCCCTTTTAAAGGGTGACTTGGGATTAGGGAACCCAATCGCCAAATCCTGGTGGTGACAAATTATTGTCCGAATGTGCTACTGTTACACCACAAAGACATGCTGGGAGGAGAGAGAAAATACCTTATAAAGTTAACAGCTAGAATTATCAGTTTCCATTTGATTCAAAACTGACATCACCGTTTTCTTACCAATATTTGTAATTATTCATTGTCTTAATCTGAAAATAAAAATCTGATATTGAAAGGAAAATGCAAAGCATGCAAGCTGTTTTGAAGTGGGGGTGGCTCATAAGTAACAACTTTACATTAATATGAAAATGTTATTGATTTGTATTGTTATTTTGTGAATAAAAAAGAAAAATATTTGGTATACTGGTACATAGAATATCACAATCTTAGCTACTAGGCAGAAGAAGATGCATACAAACTTTGAAACAACACATGTACATCCTTGCCATGGAGGGGTTTAATAGAAGACTGATTACATTATTTTAAACTACGTATAGTTGAAATAGAATACTGAAATAAAAGAATAAAATTTCCTCAGTTACATTACAAAAAATACATATTTGGCCTGCGGAAGAATGGCAACCAAATTGCCTAACTATTTTAAATACCTAACTGGGGCCACAGCCCAGGCCTGGGCTGTGGCCCCAGTTAGTTCCTTTATTTCGAAATCAATTGATTTTTCAACATGTTCTGTTCAATCATGGAAACTTACTGTTATGTGATATAAATTTTAATATCTGGAACTAGTTTCTGCCTATCAATTATACTTTGGTTTTGTTTATACATTTGTATGTAGCGTTTCATCTGTGGGAATAATTTTAGAATTATTATAGAGCATTTGAAAAATAAAAATTTCGTTTTTAGAAAAAATGGTTTATATTTATATTCCATTAAGCCAAAAGTCCTCATATAAGTTGTTCGTCTTTGAAAGTAGCATATAATTTCTATTTTTTATTTTAACTTTTAATTTTAGCATTTAGTTCTGTAAGTAATTTATCTTAATGTAAAATTTATAATTATAGTGGAGGTCATCCATATCTCACTGGCTTAGCCATTGCTGGTGGTATTTTTTGTCTGGGATTTGAAGGTGCTCTTTTTGGACCAATGTTACTATGCGTTCTTTTTGTTGCCATGCATATGTATAGAGCTGTGATTCATCCATCATACATGGATGGCAGGAAACAAAGCAGAGCATTCTCTCTAAAAAGGTAAATAATATGGAATCATTAATTAATCATTTTCCTTAATTATGTTTAACTGCATATTTATAATGTTTATGTTCAAAATTAATTAAATGCTAAAAATAATTGAATTTTTTTAATTCAGTAATTTTAAAGAAATGTAGTATTTTTCACCTTTTTCATTTTAAATTCATTATATAGGAACATATTTATTGGTAATGTTATTGAATGAAAAGCTAATGAATCTCTATATAACATTACAGTGACATATGAGAAATTTTATGAATATTTATAACATGCTTATCTTAAAAGTTTTAAAGAATATAGTTTTGGAAAAAAAGTTAAAGTGCAATAAACTAGTATTTATTCAACTGATGTGATGGCATATTTTTATAATTTTGAACATTTTTTTGGTAGAAAGTAAACAAATTTGGAGTAAAGTACTATTCATTTACAAAAATTTTTATTGTGTCTGTAAAATAATTTTCTTTCCCTCCCCCCCCTCAAAAAAAGGTGGTGTTGAAGAGATAATACTGATGAAAACAATGATGCTGTTATCTAAATTTGAATTGTAAACTTTTCATCTGAAGTATTAAATATTGCTAATCAGGATATCTGTGCTCACTTGCAGCTAATAGAGGAACTTAAATAATATTAATTTTACTTAGAAACTGAAGTATGTTTGTTTCAGCTTATTTCTGAATTATGTTTTTGTAGTATATTTATTAAATCCACTGTAATTGTGCAGATTTGAAAACAATTGTAAACATTTTATTAATATTATTATAAAACTTTTTATTTGGGTGTGCATAGTGGTTATCAGTGAGGCAAGTGATAAACCCATTAAATACCAGTAGTTATGTTTAAGTTGAATCATGGTGAATGGGCATTTTCATGGTTTTCTCTGTACGTGACATTAATATGAGCTAGTTTCATTTTGAAAGTTCTCTACAAAAGTATCCCATGCTTTAAGCAGAGAGCTTAATATGTTTCTCCATAATTGGGGAATTGACTTGATTGTATCACTCCAGAATTTAATAGCTGTCACATGATTTTCGCATAATGTAAGTGATGTGTATACTTGCATACAGTAAGAGTGAAGCTCAAGTTTTTTACCCGGTAGTATTCAAACTGAAATTTTTATAAAGCAGTGGTAACAAGCCAATATATCTATTGAGAAATAAAAAGAAATTACATGATATTATTCTTGTGAGATTTAGAATTCTTAATGTTGTATGAGTAACATAATAAAGATATATGCAACTGCTTTTATCCAGGATTATTGTTGTCTACCAGCTTTCTTTTTCGTCAGTTGTAATGCTATGGGTATATTAAAATATAATTGTAATTAAGGAAAAACTGGCACATCTAGTATGTGTGCTTTGATAATAACATGACCCCTTCCCCCAAAAAAACTGTATCTTGTGGCCATAATTGCATTTTCATTGAATAAATTCATCCAGCTTCATTATTTTTCATGTCAGGCTGGAAATTTCCATTGTATACTTAATTATTTATTTTTTTTTTCCAGTTTCTATAATTTTTCCTTTTAAATATTTGATCAGTCAGTCTAATTTACATGCATATATTTTAATGATTATAAGAAAATTAGGGTTAAAAGAAGTAAAGAATTTTTTTCTGTATTAATATCTAATTATGTAGCTATAATTTTTTGCATTAAGTATAGTAAACTTCTGGGGCTTCATGATTATGTTCATAAAATATTTAGTTATATTTTTATTTGATTCTTGTAGGATGTTTACAATTGAATGAATATTTGAACCAGAATCACCCTTTTTTATTTAAGAAGATACCAGTGCTTTCAAGTTTTTACTTTATAGAATATTTTCTTGTGTTTCTTTGTCAACATATGTGTTTATTTAAGTTTATATATATATTATTTTTGTTGCATTTGATTAGTATGAATAACAATTTTTGGTTTGAATACATTTTTCAAATTTTATTTTTATTTTATTTTTTTATTTGAATTGCATTTGTAGTTATGCCTGTGAAATTATTTTTTTATTTAAGTAAATGTAATTTTCTTTATGCTTTTTTCTGTGCATGGCATGTGCTAATAAACAGTAGTCATACTTACCAAAGGAATACTAAATTGTGATGCTGAATATTTTATAATACTGTATTATTGCATTAGCATTTCAGTTTTATGCGGGAACTTATAAATCATATCTTGATGTATGAAGTGTAAAGATTGTCAAATATATAATTAAATGTGCTGATTATTTTAAAAGTAGATTTTTTTTTTTTTTTTTTTTTCCTTAATAAGCATTTGTATCATGTTTCAGAAAAATTTCTTGCTGTAAAATGCTACTTATATTTTTTATTTTAATTGTGATAGTAAATAAATAGATAAATCCAATAAATTCAAAAGCTGGTATAGCACTGAAAAATAATTTCTGTGATAAAAATTTAAAGATGTAATCTACAATTCTTCATTAATCCAACAATTAATATTTACCTTCTGGAATCATCTTTAGAATTGCATTTGTAATTATTAATTATTTGGTGTACAATTTTTAATATGTAGTAACTTATGTCTGTTTTATTAGTGTACTGTATAATTCCAGGAATATGTGAGATTTTTATAAATCAAATCATATAAAGCTTAATTTGCATAAATTCATGCTGGAAATAGCAAAAATTTTGAAATGCTGTGAACTAATAGTAGTTAATGGATTAATTATTATTCTTCTGAAAATAGTTCTTCTTTCACTAGAATAGAAAGAAGTTCAGTAAGTTATACAATGAGCTTTAATTCTGTCAGTTATCAGAGGTAAATTTAGTGACAGCTGATGTGTAGGCACTTGAACATGATTACACTCATGTCAAAATGTTTTAGGAAGTGCAAAGAATTAAGAGTGTAACTTTTTGTGCTTTAAGAAATGAACTTCACTTATTTGTTTGATATTTATTTCTGATAATAAAATTATTTGGATATTTAATTCACAGATATATTCATATTTTTGCTCTTAAAAAATAATTCTTTGAATTAAAAAGTGTACTTTTGATGCATATATAATTTCTATCATCATCACATTTTTTCTTCACATTTCTATTTTTTAATACTAAAGCAGTATAGCTAGAATATTGTTTCTAGTAAACAGTAAATAGATTCCTCTGTTTTCATCGTGTGGCTATGATTGTAAAGAATAGTTTTGTTATAAGTTTTGGAAGGAATAATGATGTAAATTGTTAAGTCAAAAGTTGCATTGTGACAATGAATAATACTGCGTGAGAACCATCTTCGCCTGAACACACTGGTGTGCAGCAATTTTTGGTTGCACTGGATAACTGACAATCAGGTTTTTTTTACATTAAAAACAAAAATCATTTGTTTTTTTCCACATATTGATCTATGTATGAGAACAATTAGAATAAAATAAACTTTCAACTTTCCATCCTAAACTTTTTTTTAAAATTTAAATTGCATAATGGACAGATCTTTACTGATGGTGTATATCTAGACATGGCGACTTTTCTTTTAGCTCCTTTTGTTAAATGACAAAGCGTGTAATTTCTCGCAGAAGCAAAAATTCATTTGAGATGCATTTAAAAAAAAAATCTGAAAAGTTTCAGATTTTAAATTACGTCTAAAGGTTTTTTTTAATGTTTTGTGTCTTACCTTTATTTATTAAATATCATGTTGTTTGCACTTAAACTATAAAATTCGATTCAACAGCAATGTTGCAAAATAATTTTAAAATGAGCATATCATTAGAATTTCCGATACACAGTTCCGCGCACTGGAGATAAAAAGGTCCCCCCCCCCAATTTATTCACATTAGTTTGTAATAGTAATGAAAATAATGTGAAATCAGACTTTAATTAATTCAGACTCATGAAAACTTTTAAATCTTTATCAAATTTTTGTTGTTAATATTGCTAATTTTCCATAGTCTTGAGATTTTTATTTGAAATAATGGTGCAGGAATTACACACAGTCTTTTTTATTCTGGTTATTCTCATAATTGCAGTTTAATTTTTTAAGTATACCAGTCAATGACACAATTTGATACAGGTCAATGATAAATTTATTGTATCCTTCCAGCTGTTTATTAAGAATATTTAAATGGCTTGTTAAGTTAAAAGAAATGCTAAATCTATTATCTCTGTATCATTATGTAGCGCCTTTTTTTTTTTTTTTTTTTTTTTTAATTGGGACATGAAAGCAGCTGCTTGATTTTCACTACTTCAACTCATAATAATAAATGCTTTAAGCCAGATTTCAGAAATTGTAACTTTTCTTCCATCAGTTGCCTTAAAAGACTACAAATGTTGCTTTATGATTTGTTTTGCAATAGTGGCCTAAATTGTATTCTTTTAGAATTGGTATTGCCTTATAACAAATGAAACATACAATTTTATTGCACACATTGCCACAGAAGTACAAAATTTCTCCATTTCTAGAAAATCATGTCGTTTTTCATGCACTTTCATTTTTTGCTAAAGATGAGTTGCAGATTTATCTCTAAACTAAAATCACTATTATAATTTTATTTACAACTTTAATTCAAGACCGGTTTCCATATGAAAGCATTCAAAAGTTATGTGCAGTTCTAACTAAGTATTGGTGTAATCTAGATCTAACATCAAGCACAAGAAAAACAAGTTTTATAAGCCAGTTTGGTTTGTCGCCAAAGCAATATGATTTATGCAGCTGTATATCCTGCTAACCAACTAGTAACTGATTCGAGGAAAGTATATATCGAAAGTATCATTTCAATAATAATAAAAAAAATTAATAAATTAATTAAAAAAAAACAGAAATGCTAGAATGCTGAAGCACTACCAACTGTGGGTGTCTAACTACATTTATTGAGTGTACTTATATGGGAAGTTCTTTCTTCTTACCACAACCACATAGCCTAGCATGCATGCATAATGGTAAAGGCAAAATGCAATTTAGTCCTTCTCTTTTTTGCCTTTAGTAACAATCTTGCACTTATGCCCAGTCAAGAAATGCTAAATCTTTTATCTATGTATTATTATGTAGCGTATTGTTCCCCCTCCCCTTTCGACATGAAAACAGCTACTTAATTTTATTTACTACCTTTCGATTTCTTCAAGCTAAAGAACATGATTAAAGTTTATCATTTAACCAGTTAACTGTGGCCCCCTCATTTAAGAGTGTGCACCGTTTTGTGTCGCCAAAATCAAGCCATGACGAGTATATTCGTGAATCACAGAGTAAGTTGTGCTGGTAAACAAAAGATGGGTTTATTTTATAAAATTGAAAGTTTTATTACTAATATTTACTTATTTGGTTAACATAAGCATATATTACATACATATTAAACTAAAAATGCAATAAATTAAATATATACATATAAAAGGAAGAATTTAAATTCCTGCTGTGGAGTGATATTCAGCAAAACAGGGTACTATACACAATGGGACTTTGCAAATCAAACACCAGTAACGTGATTCCTTCCTGATCTTACGTTTGTAGCAATGCGAACATCTTTGCGTAGGGTTGTTTTTTTCCGATGTTCCAAGTATATAATCCGGTACATGATTCCTGCCTAATTGGCTTATATTAGGTCTACGAGTTTGTGTTGATTTGTTTCTTTCAATTGGATATGTCGCAAAAGTGTCTTCAATAAATTTGAGCAAAAAGTTGATAATGTTCCATTATTTTTTTTTATATATAATATGAATGCATTTAGACATATAATGTCTAAGAAATGGAGAAATATCTTTTTGTAGAACTTTTTGAGTCATTTTCTTGCTGTAGAGTACTCTATGATAATTCCTTTGCTCATATCCACTCCACCCTTTTTTTTTTTAATATAATCAATCACTAGCTCCAGTCATTATTTTTCTTTTCTCTGTTTCTATTATGTTGTCATTATGTACAGTACTTACCCTCTTATCTTTCCATTTCATTATACACATGACAAGTATACTCCTCAATACACAAAATCGTGCTGCTTCTCCATGATGAGTATATCAATCACAGTTAGCTGGTTTATTACTGTTTTGATAACATTATCCATCTGCAAACTTTTGTTACTGTTTCACCAATTTGAGACCACTGATCTAAGCAATCATATGGCCTTCAAAAGACTTGCTCTATACATCTGAGAATTACATCCACAGATGACTGGTTTCTGAAGAATACAACTGCTAATGATTGGTTTATGTGTAATAATATGAAGCATAGTTTGATGGCAATTGGCAGATATTTCTGCTTTCAAGAAAAGACTAGTGCTTTGATAAACTCACTTCTGATTTTAGAAAACTTAGTTGTTTGTAAAAGAATGTTTGCATTGTCATGTAACTATTATATGTGGCATTAGTAGACCTACTTTACTAAACAAAGAGACCATCCTACATTATCAAAAATGGTATTAAGCATTTGGCTTAGAAATTTCAGTTGCTCAGTGTTATGTCAAGTTTTGATATAAAGGAAAAAAAAATCAACCAAATGCTGCAACAAAATTTGAAACTGGTGCAGTAAACAAAGTGCTTTTTTAAGCAATGTGTGTGTATTAACTTTCAGAAAAAGGAATTTAAAATATTTACTATGTAAATTCTAAACAGCAAAAAGCATTTCCAGCTGAGGTAATCACTGCATAAACTAGAACCTGGCAACTTCTTTTAACATGTGTTTACAATTCACCTTAAAGTTCTAATATGCATGAACAGACTTTTATATTTTCTTTTTCAACTGTATAGTATAATAGACAGTATAGTAGAATTAATTTGGATTCTGAAAAGGACTTAAAGCAACTAGTCTGCTTCTTCCATAGAAGGTATTGGTGGTGTATTTCATACTATGACTTTCTTGACTCCTTGTAAATTCGCTGTTATGTAAGTGTGCAATAGTTGTGGCATTCAAACTGTTGAGTTGATGCAATTATATCAGATGTTGAAGACATGTCTAACCGGTAAAGCTGGAAGTGGATAACATTGATATTAACAATTTCTTTTTTAGTCACGATAGAGTTTATGAATAATAATGATATTCATTTGGAAGCCTTCTGAAATTCTGAGCAAAATGCTCTGCAGATTAGATTACTGTTTCCAGAAATTAAAATTTACTATAAAGGAATTACCTGAAGCTTTTAATCTGCTACACTGCGCAGTATCAAAATTTAAATCGATGGATCTCAAAATCAAACAATTTGAAAATCTTAGTAGTCGTATAGCCTGTGTGATGACAAAAAGCATGTTACCCCACAATCTACTGTAGACATGTTTAGGAGATGCTGCATAAGATAAAGTGAAGATGACCTTTTAACACAGAAGTAAAAGTTGCCAGAGAACAGCATTTCTCTACACAACCATCCATTTCCAATGTTGGCTGATCCAAATTTGTTGTCAAACATTTTTCTATTTGAAGAGTGTCGTTTCAGTTAGTTTTAACATATTTTTCAATTTCTGTAATTTATATGTGGGTAAGTACTTGTCGTGTTTCATTTATAAAATAATATATGTATGTATATAATAATAATAATAATAAATATTAGTTTCTTACAAAATTAGGTAGTTTACCAAATCGACTAAAATTCAAGAATTAATGCTTCAAGCTCAAAAGATTGTGGAACACATTGCTTGCATAATTGGGTGCTTATTGTGTACAAAATTGCAGTGTGGCAAATTGATTTGGTTTTATCTGGTGCTTTTGACATGATATAGGCAGATTAACGTTTTCCTGAATGGTGAATCATTTCAGCAATGTTTCTTCAATATCCATATGCTCTGCTTTTCTCAATGTGTTTGCATCAGATCCGAATTTTTTCCACGAGCAGAAATCTGTCTCGATTTCTTTCTGTGGTAGAAGCAAAAAAGTTTGTGGAACACATTGCTTGCATAATTGGGTGCTTACTGTGTACAAAATTGCAGTGTGGCAAATTGATTTGGTTTTATCTGGTGCTTTTGACGTGATATAGGCAAATTAACGTTTTTCTGAATGGTGAATCATTTCAGCAATGTTTCTTCAATATCCATATGCTCTGCTTTTCTCAGTGTGTTTGCATCAGATCCGAATTTTTTCCACGAGCAGAAATTTGTCTCGATTTCCTTCCGTGGTAGATATCGATTTGATTGCATCCATGCTATACATTTCAAATAATGTTCACCTTTGATATAAAACTCTGGTCATAGGAATGAATTTTGTGCATTTTGTTAGAAAATTTATTCCAATACAGACTGCAGAAAAATAGACCAAAAAGTATGTGAAAACATATTTTCTTATGTCTTCGCAAAAATGATTTTTGCAAATAGCACGGCCAGATGAAAGGTTTAACTAAAACTCGGCTTTGAAAATTTTGAAACCAAAATTGCTTTTTTGTGTCATCTTCCGGATAAAACTAACATCATCCTTTATTACAAGGTAATTAATTGGATTTATAAATTAACAATGATCAAGCTTTAATAACGTAATAAACTGA